TCCCCAACCAACCTTACCATGCTTGAGCTCGTGACTGTAACTGTATTTGTCCAGCAAATCAATTACATAGACCAGTCTTTATATATAAGTGAACCCAGCAGTTGCTTTCCGGAACAACTTCTCCTAAATCTAAACCACAGTTTATCGGCCTCTCCCTTCAAATTCTCACCACATTATTGTCCCTCCTCAACAATGCAAACCTACCCTTTCGAATGGTATGATATAAAATATGCATATTATAGACATTCACCATTTCCAATCACAAATAATTGCCATAACGGCAGCCAAGGTCATGTGGTCTATGTGGTACCTGATGATTTTTTAATCCAGCAGTTCCTATCATCTTGCGGAAAGTTATATACAGTAACATCAATAGATTCCCCTCTATATGGTTCTCCTGATTTAGATACTAATGAACTTCGATTGAGTTGGTCCAAGCCCATATGTGGGAGGTGTGAAGAAATAGGCAAGTGTTGTAGATTGAGGAGGAGGAATAACAGCAACAACAGCAGCAGGAAACATGATGAAATTGAATGCTTTGACAATAACATACATAACCCACCACCAATTACTACTGGTATTTCAAGTACTCCTTCCTCTATTAGTTTTCCCTTGTGTTTTACTTTCAGTTAGGAGTCACTTAAGCCTACAAATTAATCGTGATTTTCAGCTGTCATGAGACTCATTGGAGTATCTATCAGATCTCTTTACAAATTATGATCCTTGTTGACAACTGAAAGAGAGCTTACATATATCTTGAAAACTTTTAGGAAATAAATTATAGATAAGAAACATTATATATTTTTATGAATGACAAACATTCTGGTCATGTCTATCTTTTACAGGTGAAACAAAAATCCTAGTGCTTAAAGGTGAATTATCTGTCTACCCTCCCGTGAATTTTTTTTTTTTTTTTTCCTTCTTTTTCTGGAGAAGGAATTTTCACTCCTAATTTTTGTTGGTTAAAATTGCAGGTGTGATACCACCCGGCTTGATTCTTCTTCTTGTAGTCATGGTCACAATATATTTTGTCCACAGATCAAATAAATTAAAGAAAGAGGATCAAGTAAAAATTGAAAGATTTTTGGAGGATTACATAACTCTCAAACCTACTAGATACACTTATGCCGAGATTAAGAAAATTACTAACAATTTTAAGGAAAAACTAGGCCAAGGAGGTTATGGAACAGTGTACAAGGGAAAACTTTCCAATGACATCCACATTGCAGCAAGATCCTCAACGATGTCAGGGGGAATGGGGACGACTTCATCAACGAAGTGGGAACATCAGGCAGAATCCACCACATCAATGTGGTTCGCCTGGTCGGATACTGTGCTGATGGATTTAAAAGAGCTCTCGTTTATGAGTACTTGCCAAATGATTCGTTAGAGAAGTTTATATCATCTAATCAGGAAAAATGTTCACTTGGTTGGGAGAAGCTACAAGGTATTGCTCTTGGCATAGCCAAAGGTATTGAATATCTTCATCAAGGGTGTGATCAAAGAATCCTTCATTTCGATATTAAACCTCATAACATCTTGTTGGACCGCAACTTCAATCCCAAGATCTCTGATTTTGGTCTAGCCAAGTTGTGTTCGAAAGAACAAAGTGCCATATCCATGACTGCTGCTAGGGGCACCATAGGCTATATTGCACCTGAAGTGTTCTCTAGGAACTTTGGGAACGTGTCATACAAGTCAGATGTCTATAGTTTTGGAATGTTGTTGCTTGAAATGGTTGGAGGGAGGAAGAATACCCATGTTACAACACAGAACACAAGCGAAGTTTACTTCCCTGAATGGACCTATAACCGTTTAAATCATGAAGAAGAACAGGGGATCGTGATTGAGGAAGATGGAGATGCTAAGATTGTGAAGAAACTAACAATTGTGGGACTTTGGTGCATTCAGTGGTACCAGGAGACCAGCCTTCAATGAAAGTTGTGGTTCAAATGTTGGAAGGAGATGATGGAGACACTCTGACTATGCCACCCAATCCATTTACCACCACAAATCAAATGACTGCTAGGGATCGAAAGTCTTTTGACAGCAAGTGAGAAGTCATTTCTGAATCTGAAACTGAAACTGAATCTGAGTGAGAGAATCAAATTAGTGTTGTTTGTGTTGGACTTTTTATCAGTTTGTATATCTGGTAGAAATCTTGTTTCTATCAATCAGAATAGGAACAATTGTGTGAAAATAATACATCTGGTGTATAGGCTTTGAAATGTTTTGTTTTCATTTGCTATTATTGTACTATGCATTGGAAAGCAACAAAATATACATATCTAATCAGTGTTATTAGTTAGAAAGGCCTTGGCAGCAGAAGGCTCTTGGCAAGGACTTGTCCCACAAATGAATTACGACATTCTTAACAGCACCCAAGAAAGTTGATATTGTAACTAAAACATTCACTCCAGCAGTGTTGTATTTGTTGTCTTCAAATATTGTAGTCCTATTTCCTATGCCAAATTTGACACACCATATAGCACAATGCTATTTTATACTACACCTTTGACTATATGATTGTTTTAAAAAAATAAAATTACAACTATATCAATATAATTGGAGTTTAATTATCACTAATTTATTACTGTTTCATTATTAATCAAATAAATTAAGCAATTGAAATCTTCACCTATCGATTGAATCCTCACCAAGATTCTTTTTCACCTATTTATCTAGATTCCAATCAAGATCCAATTGATTGTGGAGTTGATTCTGCAAGAACTCAAAGGCTTAATGGAAGAGAGGTGAAAAAGGAATTGCATAGAAAGAACAAAATAGCAAAAGATTCGAGTTTTCGCTTTGTGGGGTAATAATATTCTCAACAAACTCTGATTTTGATAGAAATCATATCTTATTTTTATTTTTATTTTATAATTTTAAATGATTATGTCTTGTGTTTTATTTTGTTTAACAATTTTTATTTATTTTGTAACTTTGACTTAAGTTTGTGATTGATAGGTAGTGGGAAAAAACGCGCGCGCACACACAAATTTACATTGTTGAAGTATCTGTGCTATTTTAGCACAGTAAATACTACACACTAGTACAGCAGCTTATAACAATCTATATAAAATGCACTTTTGTTGAAAATAACACAAAAAACACTACACCAATAGAGATGCCCTTAGTAATTCAAGATATATTACATTTACGAATGTTCTCATCAGCTTCATGTACTTTATTCAACTATTAAAATAGTAAAATGTGAAACATTTTAAAATTCCAAGGACCCAAGGAACCTGAGGTTTACCCATGAGAAGGGCTTCAAGGCTTCACACCAAGTCCTCAGTGACATAATATGAATATGCTTAGGTAGGATTAAGTCGAGTTGTTGTTACCTAGTGGGAACTTCCCTCATATTGTTATCTTAAAAGGTTTTACTAAATTCATCGAGTTGTGCCAAATAATAAAAAAAACCTCTTATTAAATGATTTCCTAGTCTGCTTGATGAGGGGACTCAATAAATTATAGAAGGAGTGGTGTGTGGTCCAACGACTAGTTCTCCTCTTGACTGGAAGCAAGCAGGAAAAACTGGATGCTACCTTTTTGTTTCCCAAATATGCTCTGACCATTCTTAGCTGCTCATCTCAGACCATAACTAACCATTATAATCTTTGAACAAGAATAGTCTTATGCCATCTAAAAACATAGAATGAAACAGTGAAACTGATTTACTGTCACTGTCTTTATAAAGATCCATAAGCCATCAAAGAAACATGCCTCAATTTTTTTAAATTATGTGGAAAATAAGAAATTATATCCTATAAAAGTAAACAGAGATTGTTAGGATGATAATTAGATAAAACTCTTGTATACTATAGTTCAACAAGCCATATAAAAAAATAAAAAAAAGCTTCAAATTTTCGATATAATTTTTTGAGAAATTAAAACAGGTAATTGCACAAGATTGAAGATATCATTCTCCTTGATTTTCCTTCAAATGTCTCGAAATAAAAAGGGGTGACTATGCTTCTATGGTTATAGACAATATTTCTGAAAACACCAAGTCATTACCATGGCACAGCATATATTCCATTAAAGGCAATAAAGGATTACAGTCTTCAGAGTAACAGTGATAAAATAGGACAACCATGCAAATTATGCTCAAGGTTTATATGATTGATGAAGATATGAGCATCAAATGCCCCTTAAAGTAAATCTTAGTTTCATAAATCCCCTTAAAGAAAGGGTTAGTAACATGTATATCCTACACACAAACCTTAACTAAACTAGTAGCTAGATTAAAGAATCTAGAGTTTTTTTTTTTGTCAGTAGATCAAAGCATAAAGAGGTTCACCATGTCACATCTTTTCTTCCAAACCTTGTCAGACTTTCTTTGCTTCCTCAATTAGATCCTGCAGTCCGGCCACAACCCTCTCACATTAGGCACTAAAATTAATGTCTAAAATCTACTCCACAATTGAACTCATAACCTTGATTAACTTTGTTTATCTGCAGAAAAAATTAAATTTGAGAATAGCAGAAACGAAGGCTTCAAAGCCAGGTAGGGCTACAACATATGCAGCCTGATGCCAATACAATACTTTTAACAGTGACACAATTTGAGAATAGCAGATACAAAAGCTGCACCAGAAGAGAAAAAAAGAAAGAAAGAAAAGACAGAGAGAGAGAGAGAGAGAGAGAGAGAGATAAGAAAGTATATATTGCCTGTTCTTTCTTCTTATTTGCTTTCCATTTCTTCTTCTTCTTCTTCTTCACTGTCAATATCTAGTTGTTTAGTCTAAAAGGCCAGCCACACCATACTCTCATCACCTAAAAAACGCAGGACTGGTACTAAATGTGTGTCGGACAGGTGAACATCAACACTCATGCGTCCCAATACTAAACGCAGGACTGGTACTAAATGTGTGTCGGACAGGTGAACATCAACACTCATGCGTCCCAATACTTGTCAGACACGTGTCCAAATGTGTCATTTGTTTTTAGACTCCAATACACTTTACAAGTTTGGACAAATTAATTAATAATGAAATAAAACTAATACAGATTTATAAGCATTAATCTACATTCAAACTTTTGAAATAAATGTTATATTATACATAATAAATATATAAATTTATATATTTTGTTTGAACATTTCTCCTGAGCATTGTTTGAGCATTTTTCTGCTAAATAGTGCCAAACCAAGTTAGATTTCATTACACTGCAAAACAAATTTATTGAAATTTTACTATTTTATATGGAGGATATAAATTTATGAAACAATCATGTCTGGAAGAAGATTTACTGCCTTATTTATTATTGTGAGGTTCCGTGCACCCCTCCTTAATATAGTACAACATTTATCATTCTAAATTATTGGAGTTAGGAAAGGGGTTCATTCAGTTATCTTCAGTTGGCATCTCTTGAGGAGTTAGGAAAGGCTTCGGAGGCATTTGCACAAGTTCAATATTTCCTTCAAGCATTTCTACAACTTTATTCATTGCAGGACGATCATCAGGCTTCATTTGTATGCACCATAATGCTGTTATTATCATTTTTCTTATCATCTGCCTTTCTTCCTCTGTGCTCTCTCCCATTTCCACGTCCTTCCCTTCTTTAAATTGGTCATAAACCCAAGAAGGGAAGTAAATTTGGCTTGCATGATCAGGAAATGCATTCAAGTTTCTCCTTCTACCTGCCATTTCCATCAACAACATTCCGAAACTATAAACATCAACTTTGTAGGAAACACGTCCAATGTTTTTGTAGAACAATTCTGGAGCCATGTAGCCCATTGTTCCTCTTGCTGCAGTCACATACACAATGCTATTATCTGTTGGATACAATTTCGCAAGCCCAAAGTCGGAAACTTTTGGAGTGAAATTCTCATCTAAAAGAATGTTGTGAGGCTTGATGTCGAAATGTAAAATTTGCATATCACAACCCCGATGCAAATATTCAATCCCATGGGCCACGCCAAGAGAAATCTCATACATTTGCTTGCAACTCAAGGACATATTTGCTTCTTGGGAAAAAATGTACTTTTCAAGAGACCCATTAGGCATGAAGTCATAGACAAGAGCACGCTTAGATCTGTCAGCACAAAATCCGATTAGTTGTACCACATTGACATGATGAATTCTTCCAATGGTAGCAACTTCATTGATGAAATCTTGGCCATTAGCTTTGGGCTTATTTAATATCTTTATTGCCACAATATGATCACTCCGAAGTTTTCCTTTGTATACACAACCAAAGCCTCCTTCCCCCAACTTGTCCTTGAAACCTTTGGTCATCATCTTAATGTTCCAATAAGAGTACCTAATAGGCATGAGGTTATTCTGACTTTGTAAGAAACCTTCAATGGTATCAAACATTGATAAATGCCTTGTCCGAAACTTATAATGCAATCTTTTGAGAACCGTGAGAAGCTAGGGGCTATAGGCCTGATCCGGACTGGGAAGTTTGGAAACGATTATGGCAATTCAAGATCCCGATTGGGAAGTTTGGCAATTCAATTTCCTAAAATTGGGCTATAGGCCTGATCCGGACTGGGAAGTTTGGAAACGATTATGGCAATTCAAGATCCCGATTGGGAAGTTTGGCAATTCAATTTCCTAAAATTGGGCTATAGGCCTGATCCGGACTGGGAAGTTTGGAAACGATTATGGCAATTCAAGATCCCGATTGGGAAGTTTGGCAATTCAATTTCCTAAAATTGGGCTATAGGCCTGATCCGGACTGGGAAGTTTGGAAACGATTATGGCAATTCAAGATCCCGATTGGGAAGTTTGGCAATTCAATTTCCTAAAATTGGGCTATAGGCCTGATCCGGACTGGGAAGTTTGGAAACGATTATGGCAATTCAAGATCCCGATTGGGAAGTTTGGCAATTCAATTTCCTAAAATTGGGCTATAGGCCTGATCCGGACTGGGAAGTTTGGAAACGATTATGGCAATTCAAGATCCCGATTGGGAAGTTTGGCAATTCAATTTCCTAAAATTGGGCTATAGGCCTGATCCGGACTGGGAAGTTTGGAAACGATTATGGCAATTCAAGATCCCGATTGGGAAGTTTGGCAATTCAATTTCCTAAAATTGGGCTATAGGCCTGATCCGGACTGGGAAGTTTGGAAACGATTATGGCAATTCAAGATCCCGATTGGGAAGTTTGGCAATTCAATTTCCTAAAATTGGGCTATAGGCCTGATCCGGACTGGGAAGTTTGGAAACGATTATGGCAATTCAAGATCCCGATTGGGAAGTTTGGCAATTCAATTTCCTAAAATTGGGCTATAGGCCTGATCCGGACTGGGAAGTTTGGAAACGATTATGGCAATTCAAGATCCCGATTGGGAAGTTTGGCAATTCAATTTCCTAAAATTGGGCTATAGGCCTGATCCGGACTGGGAAGTTTGGAAACGATTATGGCAATTCAAGATCCCGATTGGGAAGTTTGGCAATTCAATTTCCTAAAATTGGGCTATAGGCCTGATCCGGACTGGGAAGTTTGGAAACGATTATGGCAATTCAAGATCCCGATTGGGAAGTTTGGCAATTCAATTTCCTAAAATTGGGCTATAGGCCTGATCCGGACTGGGAAGTTTGGAAACGATTATGGCAATTCAAGATCCCGATTGGGAAGTTTGGCAATTCAATTTCCTAAAATTGGGCTATAGGCCTGATCCGGACTGGGAAGTTTGGAAACGATTATGGCAATTCAAGATCCCGATTGGGAAGTTTGGCAATTCAATTTCCTAAAATTGGGCTATAGGCCTGATCCGGACTGGGAAGTTTGGAAACGATTATGGCAATTCAAGATCCCGATTGGGAAGTTTGGCAATTCAATTTCCTAAAATTGGGCTATAGGCCTGATCCGGACTGGGAAGTTTGGAAACGATTATGGCAATTCAAGATCCCGATTGGGAAGTTTGGCAATTCAATTTCCTAAAATTGGGCTATAGGCCTGATCCGGACTGGGAAGTTTGGAAACGATTATGGCAATTCAAGATCCCGATTGGGAAGTTTGGCAATTCAATTTCCTAAAATTGGGCTATAGGCCTGATCCGGACTGGGAAGTTTGGAAACGATTATGGCAATTCAAGATCCCGATTGGGAAGTTTGGCAATTCAATTTCCTAAAATTGGGCTATAGGCCTGATCCGGACTGGGAAGTTTGGAAACGATTATGGCAATTCAAGATCCCGATTGGGAAGTTTGGCAATTCAATTTCCTAAAATTGGGCTATAGGCCTGATCCGGACTGGGAAGTTTGGAAACGATTATGGCAATTCAAGATCCCGATTGGGAAGTTTGGCAATTCAATTTCCTAAAATTGGGCTATAGGCCTGATCCGGACTGGGAAGTTTGGAAACGATTATGGCAATTCAAGATCCCGATTGGGAAGTTTGGCAATTCAATTTCCTAAAATTGGGCTATAGGCCTGATCCGGACTGGGAAGTTTGGAAACGATTATGGCAATTCAAGATCCCGATTGGGAAGTTTGGCAATTCAATTTCCTAAAATTGGGCTATAGGCCTGATCCGGACTGGGAAGTTTGGAAACGATTATGGCAATTCAAGATCCCGATTGGGAAGTTTGGCAATTCAATTTCCTAAAATTGGGCTATAGGCCTGATCCGGACTGGGAAGTTTGGAAACGATTATGGCAATTCAAGATCCCGATTGGGAAGTTTGGCAATTCAATTTCCTAAAATTGGGCTATAGGCCTGATCCGGACTGGGAAGTTTGGAAACGATTATGGCAATTCAAGATCCCGATTGGGAAGTTTGGCAATTCAATTTCCTAAAATTGGGCTATAGGCCTGATCCGGACTGGGAAGTTTGGAAACGATTATGGCAATTCAAGATCCCGATTGGGAAGTTTGGCAATTCAATTTCCTAAAATTGGGCTATAGGCCTGATCCGGACTGGGAAGTTTGGAAACGATTATGGCAATTCAAGATCCCGATTGGGAAGTTTGGCAATTCAATTTCCTAAAATTGGGCTATAGGCCTGATCCGGACTGGGAAGTTTGGAAACGATTATGGCAATTCAAGATCCCGATTGGGAAGTTTGGCAATTCAATTTCCTAAAATTGGGCTATAGGCCTGATCCGGACTGGGAAGTTTGGAAACGATTATGGCAATTCAAGATCCCGATTGGGAAGTTTGGCAATTCAATTTCCTAAAATTGGGCTATAGGCCTGATCCGGACTGGGAAGTTTGGAAACGATTATGGCAATTCAAGATCCCGATTGGGAAGTTTGGCAATTCAATTTCCTAAAATTGGGCTATAGGCCTGATCCGGACTGGGAAGTTTGGAAACGATTATGGCAATTCAAGATCCCGATTGGGAAGTTTGGCAATTCAATTTCCTAAAATTGGGCTATAGGCCTGATCCGGACTGGGAAGTTTGGAAACGATTATGGCAATTCAAGATCCCGATTGGGAAGTTTGGCAATTCAATTTCCTAAAATTGGGCTATAGGCCTGATCCGGACTGGGAAGTTTGGAAACGATTATGGCAATTCAAGATCCCGATTGGGAAGTTTGGCAATTCAATTTCCTAAAATTGGGCTATAGGCCTGATCCGGACTGGGAAGTTTGGAAACGATTATGGCAATTCAAGATCCCGATTGGGAAGTTTGGCAATTCAATTTCCTAAAATTGGGCTATAGGCCTGATCCGGACTGGGAAGTTTGGAAACGATTATGGCAATTCAAGATCCCGATTGGGAAGTTTGGCAATTCAATTTCCTAAAATTGGGCTATAGGCCTGATCCGGACTGGGAAGTTTGGAAACGATTATGGCAATTCAAGATCCCGATTGGGAAGTTTGGCAATTCAATTTCCTAAAATTGGGCTATAGGCCTGATCCGGACTGGGAAGTTTGGAAACGATTATGGCAATTCAAGATCCCGATTGGGAAGTTTGGCAATTCAATTTCCTAAAATTGGGCTATAGGCCTGATCCGGACTGGGAAGTTTGGAAACGATTATGGCAATTCAAGATCCCGATTGGGAAGTTTGGCAATTCAATTTCCTAAAATTGGGCTATAGGCCTGATCCGGACTGGGAAGTTTGGAAACGATTATGGCAATTCAAGATCCCGATTGGGAAGTTTGGCAATTCAATTTCCTAAAATTGGGCTATAGGCCTGATCCGGACTGGGAAGTTTGGAAACGATTATGGCAATTCAAGATCCCGATTGGGAAGTTTGGCAATTCAATTTCCTAAAATTGGGCTATAGGCCTGATCCGGACTGGGAAGTTTGGAAACGATTATGGCAATTCAAGATCCCGATTGGGAAGTTTGGCAATTCAATTTCCTAAAATTGGGCTATAGGCCTGATCCGGACTGGGAAGTTTGGAAACGATTATGGCAATTCAAGATCCCGATTGGGAAGTTTGGCAATTCAATTTCCTAAAATTGGGCTATAGGCCTGATCCGGACTGGGAAGTTTGGAAACGATTATGGCAATTCAAGATCCCGATTGGGAAGTTTGGCAATTCAATTTCCTAAAATTGGGCTATAGGCCTGATCCGGACTGGGAAGTTTGGAAACGATTATGGCAATTCAAGATCCCGATTGGGAAGTTTGGCAATTCAATTTCCTAAAATTGGGCTATAGGCCTGATCCGGACTGGGAAGTTTGGAAACGATTATGGCAATTCAAGATCCCGATTGGGAAGTTTGGCAATTCAATTTCCTAAAATTGGGCTATAGGCCTGATCCGGACTGGGAAGTTTGGAAACGATTATGGCAATTCAAGATCCCGATTGGGAAGTTTGGCAATTCAATTTCCTAAAATTGGGCTATAGGCCTGATCCGGACTGGGAAGTTTGGAAACGATTATGGCAATTCAAGATCCCGATTGGGAAGTTTGGCAATTCAATTTCCTAAAATTGGGCTATAGGCCTGATCCGGACTGGGAAGTTTGGAAACGATTATGGCAATTCAAGATCCCGATTGGGAAGTTTGGCAATTCAATTTCCTAAAATTGGGCTATAGGCCTGATCCGGACTGGGAAGTTTGGAAACGATTATGGCAATTCAAGATCCCGATTGGGAAGTTTGGCAATTCAATTTCCTAAAATTGGGCTATAGGCCTGATCCGGACTGGGAAGTTTGGAAACGATTATGGCAATTCAAGATCCCGATTGGGAAGTTTGGCAATTCAATTTCCTAAAATTGGGCTATAGGCCTGATCCGGACTGGGAAGTTTGGAAACGATTATGGCAATTCAAGATCCCGATTGGGAAGTTTGGCAATTCAATTTCCTAAAATTGGGCTATAGGCCTGATCCGGACTGGGAAGTTTGGAAACGATTATGGCAATTCAAGATCCCGATTGGGAAGTTTGGCAATTCAATTTCCTAAAATTGGGCTATAGGCCTGATCCGGACT